TCTCGGTTATGCACAGGTTGCAGCGTTTTGTTTTTGGGGAGTAAGCCGATGCTCTGTCGATGATAGACCATTTAATGTTGTAGGGTGTGTTGCTATCTTTTAATTTCCATACGTATTTGGAGAGTACAAAGGATTGTTGCAGATTCCAAGGATTGTTCATCAGAAAAGTTCCTCCCTGATCCTGTTCCTTCCAGTAAAGGTAATCAAAACTATGTTGACAATTTGAATGCACAAATAAATTACCTACCGTAGTAAAGTAACATCATGTTGACAATAAGTATATCTATGGGCACTTTTTTCTGATACATGCAAAACATGTTAAAATGAGCTATTAGCACCTTTTAAACTAAAAATGATGAATCAAAAGTAAGTATTTTAAATAGCAGATAAAATATTAATTTGCACATTACTCTAAAATACATTTTTGGTTATTCCCAGTTATTGTTTTTGCTGTATATACAATGAACACAATTCATTTATAAATTAAATATAAATTAAATATTAATCAAAATTATATATTTTCATTAAATAGCAGATGAAATAATATTGTAAACTTTAGTCTAAACGAGCCCTTAACATATATAAATTAAATATAAATTAAATATTAATCAAAATTATATATTTTCATTAAATAGCAGATGAAATAATATTGTAAACTTTAGTCTAAACGAGCCCTTAACATATAAAATGAACACAAGACACATAATGAATGAATGACGCAGCACTGTCTAGTCTTTTTTTTTATATTGTTTATATAATATTTTAAATATGTTAAATATTTCAGATGACAGTCATTCGGATAGTTTTGTTGGGGATTCTGATTGTTCCTCAGTAGAAGAAGAGTTCCTCCCTGATCCTGAAACCTGTAGTAAAGGTACCGTACTCGTGCGAATAAGTGTCCCGTTTGAATAAGCGCCCCCTCAATAACATCATAAGATTTTCGTTTTAGCAAGTCAATAATCCAATCAATCCTGGGACTGTAGTTGTTGGCATGATTTGAGCTGCAGAGTGGAAGCACATTCTTCTTAGGTCAGTATCAAAATGATGATATTTCTTTTGGACAGATGAGAGCTCCGATCCCTGGACAGACAGTATATTTCAAACTTTACTCTATTTACATATTTTTGTCTATGCCTAGTCCTACTCCACTTTTTCTTTTTCTGACCTTTAGCACCTTCTCATCTAAGTTTTCAAGAAAAAATACAATGATCCTGCCATCCTGCTAATCTCAATCGGCCGATGGCCAACAAGCTAACATCTACCCACTACCACTAATTGCATCTGCTATTTTGCTGTTATGTAAATATTCACAGCATTCTTGCCATGAGACATTCTCTGGACGATTATCTTTTCCGTCTAACCACCATTTGTAAGGTCCTTAAATAATCTTTTTTTCATTCAAAAAGTGCCTCTTGAATTTAATAATTTCCCATAAGAACCCCTCGATTTTCATATATTTCCATAAGCGCCCAATCAATTTCCACTCTGTTTTCATAAGCGCCCCGTTTGAATAAGCGCCCCTCAGAAAGTGCAAAAAATATCTTAAGCGCCCGGGCGCGTTTATTCGCGTGAGTACGGTAACTATAACTATGTTGACAATTTGAATATGCACCTTAATTTACCTACAGTATATGATGCATTTAAAGCAAAATGTACACCAGGAATGTACCTTGCTGAATATATTTGAAAATTCTTGTGTTCCACTCCAATATAAATTTATAAATTTGTTAATCTTTCAGTGAAGAAGTGTGGAATTAATGTCAATAGTGAGAAAAGCAAAAGCGAAGTGTATGTAGAAACAACGCACAATACGTCCAGCTGTCGTTCCTATGACAAAGTGGCATATTGCCTCTTTTGTTCAAAGTCACAGAAAAAGTTGCCAGTTCATCTCCTGCAGCACAAAAATGAAATCATTGTTTCACAATATTTAGCTGCATTCGGCAGTAGAAGACAAGCTTTGCTCACATACATTAGAAACAAGGGAAATCATCAGCATAATTACAAAGTACTAGAAGAAGGAAAAGGAGACCTGATAGTTGTTTATCGACCGTCTGAATATCGTAATCCTGCGAACTACCAACCATGTTCAAACTGTTTAGGGTACCTTTCTAAGTGCGAAATGTGGAAGCACAATTGTAAACTGGACAGCAGCCAAAATTCCAGAAACAATGATAAAAAGAAAGCCCCACACGTCAAACAAGGAAAACTACTACTACCACCTCCAAAGAGTGTTGAAGCTGGGACTATAGTCCATGAATTGATAAGTAATATGCGTAGTGATGACATAACCCAATGTATCAAGGGTGACAACCTTATATTGTGCTAGACAAAACGGCTTTGCTTTAAGTTAGGGCACGACAAGGAGCAGTTTAACTATTTACGTGCCAAACTTCGAGAGTCATTTTGCCATGACATGTCTCATTTTATCTTGAATTATATCGAGCAGACGATGTGATTTTGTTTCTGACAAAATCTTTTACATTCCGCCAGCTACGATTCTGCAAACACCTGTGTGCACTGATACACTCTAAGCAAGCTTTCTTCCCAGGAGTTTGACCAGCTTGAATGGATGTTTTAAAATATGTCACCACACCATGCTTTTCTTCTTCTGTCCATTGTCTTTTTTGTGGCTTTACAGTCATTTTTGTTTTTGGTTTTAATGTTTCTTCATTCGACGAGCTATCTTCGTCACTCATTGCCTCAATTTCTAGATTTTTGCTACAACTTAGCCATTTTGCCACAACATGCCTTAAGTGAGAAAATATAACACAAAAAATTGATATTCAAAGTAACAAAATACTGTATTGCCAAAATAATTGTTCATAATTACAGAATTTATAAGTTCATGATTATAGAATTTAAATTTTATTTGTATTTGTATTGGTTTTATTATATTATATACAATTTAAGAAAAATTGAGAAAATCTATCACATCAAATAGATATATTATAATTTATTTATTTTACAATTTATTAAAATGGTTTATTATATTTTATACCAAGAAAAAATGAGGCATGATGTGGCGAAATGGTTAAGTTGTCACACAGGCCAGTATTGAGTAAATGAGCTATATAATATTTGAGTTCAAAAAATTGCCCAAATATCCAAATTTGTTTTTCATTGTAGATCAACATTTTAATGTCTTATTAATCATGTACCAAAGTATTAGTTCTGGAAGTGGTCAACAAATTGTTTAATTTTTTAATGTTATTTTGATAGGTAAATTTATTAACAATGTATGCACAAATAACTTTGAAAGGCAATTACTAAAAATCATGTTTATCTTGATTCTAAGAGTACTGTATTTTCACTTTCCAATAACTTAGGCTTGAAATGTCCAATTTCAATGAATCACCCCTCATTTTAAAGACCACATACTCAGGTATCTGAAAATACCAATAACTTGAATTTCAATTTTTGCTACAACTTTGCCATTTTGTGCCACAACATGTATTAGATTTATTATATTACTGTATATAAAATTTAAGAAAAATTGAGAAAATCTATCACAAAAAATAGATATTCAAAAAATTGGAAAATCTGACACTAATGCTCGGAGCTTTCTTTCTTTAATCTTGGTCTGGTGCAAAGTGGTTGGAATACACTTTTTTTGAGGTGTTGAATTTAAATTCATTGAATAAAATTGTTTTTACAAGAATCTTTTCATTTCATTGCTTTATTTCATCTTGACGATATATCAGAAGTACAGTATTATTGCCCTTATTTGACTGGTCATTCTTCATTAAACTACGCCCACCTGTGCAGTGGTAAAATCCTACTAAACGAAGACGGCCAGTCGAATAGAGAACTGGTAAATACTCGACAAAACTAAATGGCTCCATAGTTACCGCAATACACTCTGCGTAATCAAGGCTGCTTCGGACAATTATTTTTTAACTTAATGTGGGTAAATATAATTTTTTTTTTTTTGGTCACATGGATAACTTAACGCTGATTAATGCATTCTGGTTACGTTAATTTTCGTTGTCAATGAAGTCTATTTTACGAACCAGTCGAATGAAAATAATACTCAACAAAAATTCGTACTCATCGAAAGTAACCATTCGAATAAGCCCATTATGTTAAACATACAATTTCATTTTCCACAAGGTCACATGTTCAATATATTTTTTTTTAAATCTCATTTTTCCCCTTTATATTTGACACTCTACCAGGACAGTGAGGATAATAATGTCCCGGGTTCAATGTTGAAAGTTAATACATTGTGTTTCCACAATCTCATTGTTAACATTCAGAGTTGAATTTCTACCATGACAATGTGGATATGGTTGTCCTCAATGTCATGTCAAGGTGTCTACAGTATGCCTGGTAAATGTGTTTCCACAATTTCATTGTTAACATTTAGAGATGAATTTCCACCATGACAATGTGGATATTGTCCCCAATGTCATGTCAGGGTGTCTACAGTATGCGTGTTAAGTGTGTTTCAAGAACTAATTCTTGCATTTATATAACAAACCTAAATTTAACAAGTTCATCCCCTACATAACTGAAGGGCTTGGGGTTAAAATTTATTATACATATATATATTTAAACCTGTTCAACCATGAAGCCTTCGTGGTCTAGTGGTTATGACTCTCGCCTTGTCAGCAAGATGTCAAAGGTTCGAATTCTGTTGGAGGCATTTTATTACACAATGACTTTTATAGGACTGCATTCGCTGAAAAGCTACAGGGTAGCCTACGATGTCCCATCATGTCCTTATTTATAACACTGTATATGTACCTTTAATAACTTATAATATATTATATATATATGTATATATTGTTTAAAATCACTTATTTACTTTAAAGAACAAGGAAAACACATTACAAAAAATGATAAAAGGTAAACAAAAATAAAAAAAACTCTCTAGAATCATGTTTTTAAAATACACAAAATGGGAAGGGACAGAGCTCAAACAGATTTAAAAAGAAAGGCAGAAGAGGAAAGGAAAGAGAATAAAAGGCAGACAGAGAAGGAAGTTTTTAAAATTAAGAAAAATATTAATATTCATGATATCAGATAAAATGAACCCTCATGAGCCGATTTCAATAAGGATAAGGTTGACCTTGATAATCTTTTATTTTATTCATACATAATGTGGAATGATAATGTGAACTTAATCAGAATGTATGTATTACCTTGTAGTTAAGCTGTGTATGCTGGTTGTTTTTTGTGAAATTAATCCAATGAAATGAGGAATTGAGTTGGAAATAACAAGATATATATGTACAACTTGTACAAACAAAATAAATCAAAAATATCAAGATGTAAAAAGAGATCAGCAATGTGGATATATCAACACCGAATTATTATGTATATATATTACCATTAGGCACAGTGTATGTACAATGTAAAATAATGTGTAACAATCTCATCCTGCATGGAAAAACTGCACAAGATTCCTGTCATACAGGCTTAAAGGTGTAGTTTAAATTTCAAGTAAGAATTTTTGCATTCGGGTCTTTTTTTTATAGTGCTATTTGTATTGGATAATAGCCCGTAATGTCGTTTTGTAGCAATAGAAGATTGAAAGGAATTGAATAAAATATCGCATACGCACTACCAGGCAACTTATTTCTTCTGTAAGTATAGTGCCATTCGCTTTCTCAGAAGTGCTATGTTATTTGTCAATCAACCAATCAATCAAATATGACCAAAAAGGGCAAGCATCCAATGATCAGGATACAGTAAGATTCCTGTCATACAGGCTTAAAGGTGAAGTTTAAATTTATTGTTAATTTCAGGATTGGATTGGCAATTATCGGAAAAAAATGTCTGGCAAACAATATCGTAGGCATGATCTGGTAAAAACGAAGACACCAAGTGGATACAGTCTGTTCGTTTCAGAGTACTTTACTCAAGGTACAGTATTGTATAAGGAAAAAAGTTGAAGTAGGTACCTAATGAATTTATAAATAAATTAACCATGCTTATACCCAGGGCAAAATTTTACTGGTAAATTCATAGTGGACATCATTACTTACAGAACACACACACACACACATGCATACAGGGCTGGAAAAACTGCGCAACGGGCGGGTAGTACAAAAAAAATTGTGTTTTTTTTTTTGTTTTTTTTTTTGTTTTTTTTTTGTTACACATTACAATTTAATGCATACTGGTAATTAAATTTGATATATATTATATGCTTGCTCCAAACCGCTAAATTTACTTAAAAAAGGTCATATAATGAAGGTACTCTTTTTAAGTACCCCTCCCTCTGTCCCCTCTGAAAAGGTACAAAGAATTGTTGATATGTATTTTCGGTCACTATTTGAATATTGTTTTCATTATTCATTAATATAAACATGAATCTCCTGAACAATTTGCAATCAATTGTGAGTCTCTATAACCAGTAGTTACTGAGATGACATTAGAGGGTCAAATTTCAAACTTTCAAAAACCGCATTTCTCGCCATTTTTTGATAAAAAGTTGTATTACAACAAATAGGAATATGCATATTGTGAACAATTTGAGACAAAAATCAAGTCTCTCTGACCAGTGGTTATCGAGATACGAGCGTCCTAATCAACGGGCGGCCATTTTGAAAAACGCCCCCAAACGGGACTTTCCCCCAATATCTGGGAGGTATATAGGAGCTATATTTTATCTAAATTGGTCCATCTTGCCAAATCCATCGAGAAAAAAAGGTATCCTAAAATAGTCACGGATCTCATGAAAATGACTACTATTAAATTACGTTTTTTTGCAGAGCTGATACATGAAACGTCTCCTGAGGGAACAGTGTACCGCCCTCTCTGCTTCACAAATCCTGTAAGTTTCTCTATTGATGTATCGAAATTTGTAATATTTTTTACATTTGTTTAAAGATAAAGCATTACAAAATGCTTTATCAAAACTATGTCACGCAATTACATTGTGTGACATAGTTTTGTCTGTTCATAAAAGCGATAAAATATATAGACATATTTCAGGTTATACTTTTATGATAAAATGCATATAAATGTTAGGGCATCTAATATAATGTTTATTGATGTAGCTTTCAAATTTCGTAACCAAGTGGATAGTGCTATTAAAAGATGAAAATATTGTAAAATAGGAAATTTGATAAGCTTTCTGCAGCACCAATGATTGGTGAGAAAACGGTAAAGAAGCGAAAGTTTGAAATGTATCGAAGAATCAAGTAAGAATGATGGCATACGTCTTTTTTGCATTCGGGTCTTTTTTTTTATAGTGCTATTTGTATTGGATAATAGCCCGTAATGTCGTTTTGTAGCAATAGAAGATTGAAAGGATTTGAATAAAATGTCACATACGCACTACCAGGCAACTTATTTCTTCTGTAAGTATAGTGCCAT